CATAAATGCCATAATGTATATATTAATGAGTCAGTGATCTGTCAGCAGTAAATCTGAACCAATGGGACTGGCTCAGTGAACACCAGCTGCTCACAGGCCAACGTTTAGTGAGGTTTCCTACGTACATAGTCAATCATTTAAAATGGCTTTGTAAGTGTGATTTAAATATACAGAGTGTTTGCAGTAAATCAGACACTTCAGCCTGCAGGCCTTGAAAACAATAATACAGATTATATTTTATTGATGTGATCCCAGAGACACAAATCTCAATCCAAGCGTAAGTCAAAAGCTGCAGCCCTGATCATAGCACAGTTATTTATTATGTCATTTATTCATGACTATATTTATTTATTTCTCTGGCACATTTATTTATATCAGTTTTTGGGGGAAAAAAAAAAAATGTGGGGAACTCCCTTCGTTTAAACATCAACACGCAAACTGAAGCCTCGATGGACGCAAATCTCTTTCCCACGGTCAGTGACAAACGTTGCCATGGCGACACAGTTTCTCCCTCTGTACCTGGATATTTGCTGCCACTGCCAAAGGACTCAGTGATAGAAGTCCGTCTCACAGTAGCAGCACCTTTCTTCTCCTCTTCAGACCAGCTTCAGCGTTTATGCAGTCCAATATGACGATGAGAGGCAGGACAAGTAGCTCCTATCAACCATGCACGAGCCCCATTATATATTATTTACTTTCTTCCGTAGCCCTTGTTGATGCTAAAATACACGTTTACACCAGATTACTGAGCTTTTTGACATAAGGATTGATTTGTATGACAGAAACGCTGTGATCAGAAGTATAGACATTTCAGTACTGATCCATATTGTTGGAAAGTCAATTTAAGAACAACAAAGAAGGAGGCGCAATATCACCGTAAACATCCATCCATCCATCCATCATCTATACACGGCTTAATCCTCACTAGGGTCGTGGGGGGCTGGAGCCTATCCCAGCTGACTCAGGGTGAAGGCAGGTTCACCCTGGACGTGGTCTATCACAGGGCTACAAAACGGATGCAAAATGATGACGCAAAGAGACTCAGAATGACCGCAAAGGGACTAGAAACCTAGAAACAAAGAGACACAAAGCAACTACAGAGAGGCTAGGAAACACAACAGAGACTGGAGATGACTACCAAGAGATGCAAAACAAATACAAAGACACCAGAAATGACTACAAATAGAGTCCAAGCAACTACAAAGAGACATTAAATGACTAAAAAGAGATGCAAAGTGACCAAAAGAGAGTAGAAGCTACACACATGTGAAAAAACCACAAAAGGAAAAAAAAAATCACTACAAAGACCCTCAGAACAACTACAGAGACTAGAAACTACAACAAAGAAACAAGAAATGATCACAGACTCCAAACAACTTTACAGACCAACACCAAAAGACACAAACAACTACAAAGAGACTAGAATTGACTAGTGACCAAAAGAAAGTAGAAACCCCCATAAACAGACAAACACAAGTACAAAGAGACAAGAGAGAATAAAAAAGAAACCAGAAATGATTACAAAGGTACTTAAAACAGCTACATACACATCACAAATGACTACAGCTACACCAAAACAAACACAAAGAGGCCAGAAAGACAGCAAAGACACAAATACTAACTGCAAGAGACTGGAAACGACCACAAATATACTTAAAACCACTACAAAGAGATGACACATGACTTAAAGTGAACAAAACAAAGTAGAAACCACCACAAAAAGACTAAAAACAAGTACACAGAGAGTAGAAACTACTACAAAGAGATCTGGAATGACAACAGAAGTGTTCAAAACAACTACAACGAGACCAGAAATTACTGTAATGAGACTCAAAACAACTACAAAGATACTCAAAATTACTACAAACAGATGCACAAAAAGGCCAAACAACTTCAAAGGGATGCAACCTTATGGAAGGGCATTGCATTCACTGGGTTAAAAAAAAAATAAATTAGACACCCTATCGCGTAATTACGAGAAAAGATCTCGCAATTATCAGATCAGGATCTCGTAATTATAAGATGAGGAAAGGTGCCGCATTGACCACTGCTTCACTCAGAAAACTGTCTTATGAAGATACCGTATATCACATATATGCATTTACTGTATATCACATATATGTAATACTCAACCTGCTGCCTGAGGTTTTACACACAGGAAATAACCTGTTCAAGGTACAAAAATATACGACAAGGCAGCGAAACACCAGATTTTATTCCCCCTGCTCAGCATCCAACACCTGTGTCCGTTTGTTTTCTACATGTTTAGTCCCAAACACTGGAGTTAGTTTGAGGATTTTACAAAATAAAGAGGGTAACAGGTACATCTACAGTGTGTTCATGGTAGATTGACTCCTGTGAAATAAATTTAGAAAAAACTAAACATTTTAGACAATGACTGCAGTTCATATACTTACTGTAAATCTATAATAATAATATAGATAATATAATACAATAATAATATAATTACTGTAAATGCACGTATATTTGCATTTACCTCTTCGTGGGTGTGCAGTTTTCTGAGTGAAGTAATTACGAGATCTTTTCTCGTAAATATGAGATCTTTTCTCGTAATTATAAGTTAGGGTGTCTAGTGTTTTTTTAACCCAGTAAATGCAATGCGCTTCCGTAGCAACCAAACTAAAGAGACATAAGATGAATGCAAGGACTCAGAAAACAGACTGGAAATGACTCCAATCAGACTCGAAATAACCACAAAAAGACGTAAAATGCATCATTTTCTGTCCCATTTAATCTGTGTCTGACATAAATATTAGTTTTGTATGTAAAACCCTAAACTGACAGCTGATAAAAGTTTTGCAGTGAAAGCAAAGTAAAATTCCAACACTTGACTAAAACAAAAAAGGGCCTCCAATCTGTCTTGAGGTACAGTTTAGTTCCCTCAAACCACTGATTAGTACCAAACCCATCAGCTAACGTATCAGAAAGCTGCTGCCTTTGTCTCCCAGATTGATTTTAATGGGATTTTAAGGGGACGGATTCTGATTCCTCCCTCATTAGGTGACCTGTTCTTTCTCGACACCTCAGCCCACGGCGGGTCCAGGGATGGCCAGAGAGCAAGGTGATTAATAATAATAGATATTCCAAAGATAGCCAACATCCTTCTCCACTTTCCTCCTCCACATCACAGGGTGGCTTCATGTGAGCGTAAATGAGGAGGGGGGGGTGGAGGAGGAATCAGATGGGATCATCCAGAGCCGGACTTATATTTATCTGCACCTGCAAATGAGCGGAGCAGCAGATACAGCTAATGAACTCGGCAGTGGATGGTTTGATTGATTACGGCCAATTACTGACAGAAGTCCGTCCGTGTGCGTCCATTTGTCATCGTGTGACTTCCAGAACTCGAGCGCTGGTGTTAGCCGCTGACAGAACTGGTAATGTGTTTCACTCAGAGAGCTTCATTACTCACTGCGTTTCCGTTGTCGTCTCTCTGTGGCCCGTTTCATAGCCTCTGTCTTTTCATGTTCATTTACACTGGCCAGCTTTATTTATAGCTTGATTTCACCCTGGGTAGTTTGACTCAGCACGCTTGCTCTTTTTAGCGATGCACTGCCGCTCAGAGCGTTCAAAACTAACCTTTCGGCCAGGCGACCACTGTGGCGGCAGGATTTAGTGTTTTTGTTTAGTCGCTGCCCTTTGAAATCAGATGAGTGCTTGAAATTAAGACTGATGGGGAGGTGGCGACCTGCCGAAGCCACTAATAGAAGTGAAAAAAGAGTTACAGCCAAATATTTCCCAGCATTTTTGGCAGGTGGCCGGTGTTAACGTGCAGCCTTGGCTCCTGCAGCTCCACGAGCTCCACAGCCTCCCCCTAATTATGTTTCCTCGCAGTATGGAGCCCCCAGCTTATTATGCTGCATGTCTGTATGTCACCGTGAACGGGGGAAATCAGTGCAAGACGCATCTCCACTGTTTCTGCCGTCTTAAGCAGAATGCAAAAATAAAGCCCGGTGTGATGTGGATTATTGCTGAAGCTACAGAATAATGTGTTCCATTGTGATCCTTCCTCCACAAACACAACTGAAGGATGTGGTGGTGGCTTGTGTTCTTCTATCATATATTATGAATCAGGACAGAGAGAAAGGGTTTTTTCTTTTGCATCCCTGAAGCACCATGAGGGTAATATTCAGTCGATTTTGCATAAGCACTTAGTTTAAACTGTACTGTCACGGGTGTCTGCACTCTCACTGCCCTGGACTCTTTATTTCTCCTCTGTGAGCAGACACATGGGCCGCTGTCTGACAGACAAGCAGACCAGCTATTAGTTGTAATTGCCAGAGGATCAGTCATCTCAAGTGCATCAGGTCTCGAGCTGTTTCCATGCAAAAAGACAGACCCAGGGCGAAAGGCTGGAAGCCCTGACCCAAATCTGTCTTTACATAAGTCGCTGCATGATGGAGATGTTGCTCAGGGAGCAAATAATTAGATTATTCAAATATCATAATGCAGTCAGTCATATTGGCACTGGTGTGTAACTGAGCTGAGGCTTGATTAAAGGCAGAGGGAGCAGAGCGGGGAGATGAGAGGGGGGAGATAACACACTACAAGATTTCCTAATTGATCTTGAAGGAAGGCTGTTTAATTGATCTGGAGGATGCTGCACGGGGTTGCAGGCATTTCTGCACAAAAAATTAGGTCAGGAGGAATGCACAAAGTGGTAAATGTGGGGAAAAACGTGCCAAAGTGTGGGAGATGTAGAATGCATGTGTGGATGATGGAGCAGGAGCTACAGATACAGGTGTGCACCTGTCGTGTTCTGGAAGATTTATGCCAGAAACATGATCCTGCTGCGTAAAAGCTACAAATATTTACATTTGAAGGGACTGAATGATCGGGTTAGCACCGTTACGCACACCTGCGCGTCCAATATGCACACACATTCCGGATGAACAGACAATCCGCTTGTTATCTAAAAGGAGAAACGACGTGGCAGATTAAAAAAAATAAAAAAATACACCAAAACCTGAGCTACTTACGTGCCATATTGCGAAGAAGATCAGGGACACACAGAGGACCAGAGACAGCATGTAGCAGAAGGCAGCAAAAGTGAACATAATTGAAGGGGGAAACGGTGGATAATTTCCCAAGGAAGCACGATCCCGCTGACAAACATCTAAAAACAACAAAATAAAAAGGAGGGGGAGAAAAAAAAAAAAAAAACAAGAGGGACGAGGAAGAAAGTTCTCACGGTGCCATGGAAAGCCGAGGCACCATGACTTGGCCCCCCTCGCAGTGTTTGCAACAATTTGTTGCAGGAAAAAAAACCACCTCCTCTCCAGATGGTCAGCCAGCAGCGGTGATGGGACTCTGAGGTCAGAGCTGCTCTCAAATCATCGCATGATCGGCGATCAGTGTCCGCAGTCTTGGCGAGGTGATCATGTAATCATAGAGACACGGCGGAGATGAGTGAGGACTGATACGAGGAGCTTATGCGCAAACCCATCCAGGAGAGGTGCATCAGTAGGTAATCCATCCAGCGGAGCCCCTGCTGCAGCCTGTGTGCTGAGCTCTGCTGCTGTTTTGGAGACGAGCTGCTCGCTACTTATGCACCAGGCGTTAATAAATGCTGTTTTCTGCCGCTGACAAACCTATCAGCGGCGGCGGAGAGCGGAGCGCGCAGGGAGAGGTGTGAACAGGTGGATTTAAAAGAGCAGCCCGGTGCAGCGTGCGTAAGCGTGCGTGTTTCCACATTTGCAGTTTTTCAGTCAGGTGTACTTTGGATCATGTTGATACGAGGTGATTGTGAACACTCTGAATTTGCTCCTGGCTCTGGAGAAAGTCATTTGCTGCTATTTCAAAAGCACAATTGTGTGTCTTTTTGTTGTTGTTGTTGTTGTTGTTTTCTTGATCTAGAAGCAAATCAGTGCCATAATTTGCTGTTTACCTGCACAAAATGACTGGATTAACCTTGTAATCCACAGACTTGAGAAAACAAAACACACACACACACACACAGATTTACTGCATCATAAAATGCCAAAAAAAAAAAAAACATGGAAAAATATGAAGTGCCACACAAAGTGGTGCTCCAAAATCAAATCATCCTCCACAGAGTGATCATTTAGATTTGCCCAGAACTAAGTCAAAAATTCTCTTTCATTGATGTCTTCAAAGAAGCTCCAACTGAGCCACAGGCTACAAGACATTTAAACTGTGAGACTGGCGCCACCGTCTGGCGTTCTTACAGGTTGCAGGTGAAATAATAGAATAAACATCACTCATTGCTGTGTCTGTGTGCTCTGCAACACAAACCACAGCTCACATTTTGCTAATAATGAGTGTGGCCTTCAGTGTGGCCTTTTTACGCACAACATCTGCAGCTATTTTTACAGTGCAAACAACAAACTTAAATTATCTTGCAAATTTTGCACATTGTATTCACATATACAACAGAATTTATAAAAAAAAAAAAAAAAAAAACTTTTCTTTTTAAAGCAAGTGGAACTTTCTCAAAATGATTAGAAGACTATGGAGCTTCCTTATGGTCAAGTGCTGCTGCAATAAGGCTGAAATGAAATGAAGTAAGTAAATAAACAAATAAACAAATAAATGCCGGCTATTTGTAGGCTGAAAGGGTAAAAATGTGAAATGAACTAAATGGCAGCACATCAGGAGGAGGTCACAATTTGATTCCTAAAGCGAAAGCTTGATATGACCGTATGTGTTGTCACATGTTTTTGTTGTTCGGTGTCTTTTTCAGTTATTTATTTATCCATCTTTTGTCCGTTTTATTTGTTTTTGTTTTTGTTTTATCACCTCACTTAAAAAAAAGTCATATTTTGCTTTTGTGAATTTTGACTCACTCTGCTTCTGGTGTCATTACATTTATTTATGATTTTGTATCAGTTCCTCAGTCTCTGTTTTAATGAGTCTTTTATTTATAACATGTCGTTTATGGGGTTTGTGGGGTATAGTTTTTATTTTGTTTTTTCTTATTGTCTTTTTATTCCTTCTGTTCTGTAAAGCACTTTGTCCTTCAGAGTCTATCATGCATGAAAGGTGTTGTACATATAAAGTCTGATTGATTGATTAATGATTTTTGTCACATTTGTACAGACGGGAGCTTCCAAAGGTTCAAAATCAATGAAAAGATCTTCAAGTAGACATCATTAAAATAACAGTGGGCATAGCCTACCATAATCATAACCACGCCTATACGTCACTTCAGTGAGACTTATTTTGAAAGCGGTGCATGACCGGTTTCTTCCTTCTGTATCTGCGCTGCCTTGATGCTTCTAGCTTGTCGCCTAGCAACAGCTTTTGACAGCTAATTGGGATGTGACTGCTGCTGTTGACCAAAAACTGCTGCGTTATGGGCTATTTTCAACTCAAAGGCCAACAGTTACTGTGGGATAAGACAATAGACAATAAAACCGCTGACTAACAGAGAGAACCTGTAACTTTTGGGGGTAGAATACACGAGAAACAGGGAAACTTGTGTCAACTGTGTTCACAAATGAGTGACTTCCCTCATGAGAGGTGATGTTTTTAAGATGTTACTGAACTTAATGACTAAAGTAATGGCAGGATAACGTGGCAGCTGTTTATGTGCTCCTCAGACAATAAACAGTCCCTGTGCACTCCTTTAGTACTGACAACAGAGAGCTGGCTCACATGTGTGTTATTGAGGCCATCCATCAGCTTGCCAGGACAAAAAAAAAAAAACACTGAACACTTTATCGTATCCACTTTGTGCCAAGAAAAAGGTGTAGTTAGGAGCTTAAAGCACTGGAGGTTTATCCCTGCACACAACTCTTTAGAATTTAACCTGATAATTACACCATTTTACAAATTATTTCAGGGTAAAATGAATATAAAGTGCTTTAGGCAAAGTTTCTTTCTATGCTGTGCCCATGTCTCACATTAACATCACAGTGAGAGCACAATAGCCACACAAGTGGTTCGAAAGCTTTGTCTTTTGGAATCATTTATGATGATTTATACATCCATCCATCCATCCATCCATCCATCCATTAACTATACACCACTTAATCCTCACGCAGGGGGCTGGAGTCTATCCCAGCTGACTTGGGGCGAAGGCAGGGGACACCCTGGACAGGTCGCCACTCTATCACAGGGCTACACTTTGAGACAGAGACAAGACAGACAATCAAGCAACCAAGCACATCCACATTCACACCTACGGACAATTTAGAATCACCAATTAACCTCAACATCTTTTTGGACTGTAGGAGGAAACCGGAGAACCCGTAGAGAACCCACGCTGCATGGGGAGAACATACAAACTCCTCGCAGAAAGATCCCGGTGCCCCCATCAGGACGCAAACCGGCAACCTTCTTGCTGCGAGGCAACAGTGCTACCAACTGTGCCACCTTGCAGCCCATGATTTATACAACCACAACCATATGTAAAGGTGTGCTTTGTGGGGAAAAAAAATTAAAAAATGTTTGAAAATCACTAAGCTAGACCAAAGCTGCCAGTTTTAGCTGCCGGCTGGAGTCAGATTGGTATAGTCAGTGTTTCTCAGAGAATAATAACACACAAAAATGTATTTAGAAATCCACTATGCACAACCGAAATATCAGTCAACATGTCATGTTACCGCTCCATCCTCACCCCACACCATCCACAACCGTAATTAAAAAAAATACAAACTGGAAAATGGTACAAAAGGAAAAAAAAAAAACATTGAAACAAATAAAGGAATAAAATATAATAAATAACTAACTAAAAAAATAAAAAAAAGTGGTAAAATAAAACTTTTGCCACACCTTAGTCCACATGGACACTTGCAACAGATGGATTACTTCCAGACTTGTTACACATTTCAGCAACACTCTAGTTCAGCCCCAAGAATCCATCAAGATGCCAAATCCAGTTTGTGGTTTTTGTTGTCTGAGACGAACAGCTGCCTTCTAAAATGTATCAGCTGATCCAATCAGAGTGGCTCTAACTTCCTCTGGCTGCAAAAAACTGCATTAGATCTCTAATCCTGTGAGTACGTATGAGCAGTGTTTCATCTTTCCTCTTAATAAGAATTAATCATCTAGCAATCAGAGATGCAAAGGCAACAGTGTTTAGTTTTTATTTTGGAAGGTTAGCTTCTTTTGCGACCACTCCAAACTCAAATACCTTTGAGAGGGTTTTGAATACATCTCCTCCAGTACTCACAACGTCAGGAGCAGGTCCAAAAAGTGCAGATAAGAGTCCCTATTTGATTTCTGCATCACATGGGGTTCACATCGAGATAAATCTTGACCAATTTTTCTTTGGTATATTAACGGCAATGGACAACTTTTCACTGTAGGAGTTCATGTCATGCAGATGAGGAATGGAGTCTATTCAGAATTGAAGCCAGATTCAAATTTAAATGCTCTTTCCATAAGTATTAAATACAGATAATGGGAGCAGGCAAGATGAGATGTTTGTTCAAATACTGGAGCAACCACCTCCTGTTCAATGATGATTTATAGCCAGAATATTGTCTAACATGGTGGTTAATGGAACTAGACCCATAAAGTTTGAGCATTAGAAGATTCTTGCTTGCAAATATTTAAAATAAATAAATAAATAAATTTAAAAAAAAGGTTCTTAGTCAGATTATATTTCTGTTTCAAGCGAGCAAATGAGCATCATCGACATATAAATCTCCAAAAGACGTTGACGCAGGAGTCCATGTTGTAAATATATTGATAAGAAATGGAACCTTTTCACAACTGAATCAGCATCTTAATGGGTATTTATGCTTGTTTGAATTTTTAATCGGAAGTTTATATAAGAGTGATTTGGGTGAATGACCCTTTAAATGGTTGAGGAAAAGAGATGCAAGACCTCAAAAAGGTAATAATCGTAATGAGTCTGCTGATTGTGTTGCTGACAAAATAACACTGAAAACTTTGTCCATGTTTGGTCTGATGGAACTTATCCAACAGGAGATGACTCTTCCTCCACCTCCACTAGTCTTTCCTGTGTCTTATTGCCTTCCTCTTTTTTTCTTTTTGAAAAAGTCTGTCCCTGCCTTAGCTATGGAGCTAGCAAGCTACCATTGGATGCCACAAATGGAAAGTCCTGTCACTGATGCACAATCACACA